TTTTAAACTCTTGTAGAAAATTTTTCCAGCTGCGCCACTCTCTGCAGAAAACTGATAGGAAAAAAAAGGGAGAGAAAAGAAATAAAAACTCCGTGTTATCGAACTTTTATTTCAAAATTAGCACACTTATTTAATTTACAGCTAAACTAGCTTTAAAAGATCGTAAGTTAATAAAATGCCAGAGAAAACATTAGATTGTTGAGCGTTAGGTTAGATGTTAGTTTTATTTACTTACATATTTTAAATTTTGCAAGTTAATAAATCATCTTTCAAACTCTGGTAAACTTTTTCCGAAACATAAAACAACAAATAACAAAGGCATTTCAATTTCTAATTATTATTTTGGCCCATTTTAATATACAGTCGTCCCCACTTAATTGCATATCGAATAGCCCGCTTATACGAATAAGCTTTAACGGAACCAAATCGTTATATCTAAAACTAATGTTACATTTCCTCGTTTAAACGGATACTTTTTGTCTCTAGTCCCCCACTTAATTGCATAAAGAAGAGGTAGTGAAAAGAAAGAAAATTGTTTATTTTTAAGAAATATTTCACCAGTTAGAATGGAATTTCCATTTTTCAGTTAAGAATACAATGGGTGGTTTCTTTAATAGGGACTTCCTATGCATTTGTTGCTCTACGTAGGTATATTAGTGGAAAAGCGTGAGAATAAATCTAACCTAGCTTGCATTTAAGAAAATGAAGAAGGTTTTATCCTTCTTTGACTGACTTCACTTACACAACATTAATTTAGAATGTAAAATAGAGTTTTGTGGTCAAGGCTTGCGGTCCCCTCCTGGTGAGCTATTTGTTATGATAAGAAAAGTTTTCAAAAACCTAACACAGTATATCTTTCTCAGTAGAATAATGATTACTTGCGCCAATGAACTTTAAATGGCATTCATATTTTACGATGCTAACACCGACAGTTTTAATTACAATTGTTTATGGATCATAGAGAGTTCATTAAATCGAAACACTACACTGCATTAAATACCATTAAAAAGTAAAATTTCTCAAAAATGTATAATTTAAGATTGAATAGAGCACTCCCCTTTTAATTGAATGGAATTGACTGGAACCAATGGTATTCGTTTAAGCGGGGTTGACTACATCTTATCTGTCGTTAAAATCAACTACACGAATAATAAATATTGCACACAATTATAAAATTTGTTTTCCTTGAAGTAAAGTAATTCTATGCATCAAATATTTTTTGATAAATATGTATTCTAACACTAGATTGCCTAAGGAAGTCATTTTGACTGCTTTTAATTTCAATTAGAAAAACAATGATGTATATAATGACACAATTTCTTAGAATTTTGTGCAACATATAATTTTTTTATTGTTAATATTTACTAATAACTTATTACATAACTTTAAATAATATAAAAAATATTAAAAATTAATTTTAACCAAATTTCTTTACGCATTATTTATTCTTTTACAATCCAGTCATTTTGACTGCTTTTGGGCAATATAGGTATATACCAGGGGTTTCCAACTTACATGAGCCGGGAGCCACAATTAAAAACATAAATCAAATGGCAGGCCGCAACTTTATCAAAATTTTTTGTAAGGACTCTTTTATGTTTGTAGGAACATTAAGTATTACTGTCAGAGTTTTATCAAGTTGTACAAAACAGAAGTATTGAATTACAAATTAAAATAAGAAGTAGATTTTTAAAAATATTTAATTGTTATTCATAATATTTTTAAAAATATTAAATAAATAATAAAAATTCGGGCTACAATAACTTTCAAGTGCGCACCTATGTATTAAACAATTAATGTGCAACAGATATCTAATTGTATTAAAACCTACATAACAGTTGGGCTGAAAAGTTCGTAGGCTGACACATAGATGGGGCTACTATTATTAAAAACATTTAATTTTTAGTTAGTTCTAACCTTCGAAAGACACGTGTATAAATTTGACAGCTGTCGGACTAACAGTTTGTGAGATATAGTATTTTTAGTGAAGCAACTTTTGTTAGTTTAAAAACAATGGATAAAAAGGAATTTCGCGTGTTCATAAAGCATTGCTTTCTAGCGAAAAAAAATACTCTTGAAGCCAAGNTGGCCAAAGCAGGTGCTGAAGAGGCCATTACGACTATCGCTCCTCTTACTTGTTTGGAGCATTTTTCTAAATGCAAGGCAAAGAATATAGCCAGTTGGACGGTTCCACCGGTACACTCATGGTATCAGAGTAGGTACCCAGGGGGCTCCTTGTCTCGGGGCAGCAGTAGACGAGAACAAACTGCCATTACTCGTTTCCTCAGTGGATATCTGTCATCAATGACTCATATCGATGGTAATAAACATTTCGAAGTCTACACTAAGAGTTCTGCTTCTCTTCACAAAACAGAAGTATTGAATTACAAATTAAAATAAGAAGTAGATTTTTAAAAATATTTAATTGTTATTCATAATAATTTTAAAAATATTAAATAAATAATAAAAATTCGGGCTACAATAACTTTCAAGTGCGCACCTATGTATTAAACAATTAATGTGCAACATATATCTAATTGTATTAAAACCTACATAGTAGCACACAAAATAATCAATGAGAAAATTAAGGTTTGTCTGCTGCAACCACCAGAATTTACAAATGTGTGTTTAAATATTTTCGTACAAAATGAGTGGTTTCTAAAAGTTAAATCGGAGAATTCCTTCGAGAAAATTTCTGATACGCACATGCTAAATTATATTCATAAAATACGAAAAAAATGAAATAAAAAAGAGCAACATACACGATTATTTTTGTATTTGAATAAATATTTTCTTGGATGCAAAACCTGAAAAATAAATTTCTTTGCACAGTTGGTATGTTAAATTTCACAAACATGAAGAAATTAGATTTTTATTAACGAGAAAAATATTTTAAACCCATATAAATTTTTTACGAAAATTGTCCGTAAAAAAATGACAACTAACATATTTTAGTTCGCGGGACACAAAAAAAGGCTTCGCGGGCCGCCAGTTGGAAACCCCTGGTATATACCAATTTTCCGTCTTTCTAGTGTTAATAACGATTGGTAAATTTATGAGCGAATAAAACACTTCTATTCGCTGTAGTTCACGTATAAAGTTATTCTTTGTGTAGCTAGTTGGACATGGAAGGACTAATTCCAAACTTTGGAATATGCCAATCGAGCAAAGATGGGAGTCGTGGTGGCTCAGGAGATAGAGCGTATTCGCCTTCCTATGTGGTAAACCGGCTTCGAATCTCAGCGATGGCTGGTCGATACGAGTTCCGCACCCGTCTCGCACCAGCCACAATACTGGCGTAAAAAGTTCTCAGTTGTAGACGGATCCTGGATTAGAGTTCCCTTGCCATCAGGCTAAGACCGTGGAAGGTTTTTCGTGGTTTTGCTCTCCATGTAACGCAAATGGGGGTTAGTTCCACCAAAAAGTCGCAGATTTCCCCTGATACTTGATCCAGAACTCCCCTTGTATTCTGTATTGGGTTCAAAATTATTAGGCTACGGAATAGAACATCACTAGTCGTTAGCCTAAAATTGCGTCGGCTGTTCAACGATGGTTATAAAATAAAATAAAATCGGACATAGGTATGAGGGTCAAAAAGGCGCCCCTGCGAACAACTGGAAGACAAAAAAATTTTAAAATATTTTGCTTTCATGTGGGATTAGTTTTTTTCTTCTTTTTTTTTGCTTCTAATAATTGCCAATAATGCTTTTTGCGTGTTATACTGATTCGACTTCGTTTCATAAACTGATAGCATAATGCTATAACTAACACTAATCTCCTTCCGCTAATAAAGAGGGGGGGGGAAATGCATTTCAAAATAATTAGGAAATAGAAAATTAAAAAATTACAAAACATTAGAAGTCACATTTTTTACGCTCATACAATGTTAAAAAAAAAAGTAAAAAGTATTGCATATATTAATTACTTTTGTTTTAAAAATTTAAATGTTGTTATAAAGTTTTTTTTATTCATCGAAAAATTAATTCAAATTAAATTTAATTAAATATTATTGTTCATAAGAACTTCCTTATTGTTTATATTTAGACATTCGACTAAATATGTTTAAAAAAAATTGATAAGAAATAAGGAAATAAAAACTCACGATTTCTTAAATGTTCGAATCGGTAAATATATGGTCCAGGTTCCCAAACCATAAAAATATCCCCGAACTATTATAGGTTTTTACTACTCCCAGAAATAAACAGGTTCTTAAATATCTAGATCTTCCCTGTTTGCATCCCCCCTGAGAACAATTTAGTTTGTAATTTTTTTTTTATTAAGATTAAATATTAATTTTATTAAAATTTTTAACAAATATGAGCTTCTTATGGGAGGTTACTGGCTTAAAGAGAAAAAAAAGATGGAAGACTCTCAATTAATTTTTTTTTTTTTTTTTTTTGGCAGAATATTTATGAAAAATGCTAACTTCTTTAGAATAGTTTGAATTTATTCCCCCACTCCCTCTCTCATTTTTTATATTATCGTCCANTTCATAAACTGATAGCATAATGCTATAACTAACACTAATCTCCTTCCGCTAATAAAGAACCAGAACTCAGAAATAAACAGGTTCTTAAATATCTAGATCTTCCCTGTTTGCATCCCCCCTGAGAACAATTTTATTTGTAATTTTTTTTTATAAAGATTAAATATTCATTTTATTAAAATTTTTAACAAATATGAGCTTCTTATGGGAGGCTTACTGGCTTAAAGAGAAAAAAAAGATGGAAGACTCTCAATCTTGGCGAACAAAAAACAAGGTATTCTTTGGCCAAGCTCTCAATTAAATTTTTTTTTTTTTTGGCAGAATATTTATGAAAAACGCCAACTTCTTTAGAATAGTTTGAATTTATTCCCCCACCCCCTCTCTCATTTTTTATATTATCGTCCATTGTCCTTCATTTCCTTACTAAAATCCTTTTTTTTATTATTATTGCACATAACATACGTCATCAACCTCAACTTGCGACAGACATGACGTAATAATGTGTTCATAAAATTCAATTTAGAAAACGGTAAGCAGACATGAAAGTTGATACTTCTCGTATTATTCAAGAGAAACTGATTTTTAACGAACGAAAACTCGTGCCAAACGGATTAAACCATGGAATAAGTTCTAAATCAGCACTGCTCAAACGATGCAAACAGAACTGTAATGTTTTTATGATTCACAATTCGCCAACAATACATACATCATCATAGTTAAATAACTGTTTTAATTTCGACCCTAATTTTATTATGAACTATTAATTTATAATTATGAGTGCTTCTAGACCAGTTGGTAAGGCAATGTGTTCATTTTTGTTATTCACTTGCAGTTCAGTTTAAAAGTTAGGTTCCGTTCGTCAAATATATATGCAAAATTGTTCAGTTTTGTTTTTACAGTTATTTATTATTTAAACTATTTTGAATTATATTTATTTGTTCCTGGATCTGTTAGTATTATTATTTTTTTATATCTCTGAACATTTCGCCGGGCGTTGTGGTTTTATTTACTTGTTAATATTTAATTTTTTTTACCTTATTAAATACTTACTCAAATTTGGATACAGTACAATATTGGTCTGAACCTGTTACTTTGCAATGCAAGGTTTGAAACATCATCGATCGCAATCAGCATTTTTTAACAAATTTGCTAACCTTATGCTATTTATATTCTTAACCTATTTAAAGAAAATATTATTGTTTTAAATTAATTATATAAAATTAAAATTTCTGATATAATAGATTGATTTTTTTTATTCTTAACGATTTTGATTATTAATAATTGTTTGCTTCTAAAATTCCTTCATTTTATAATTAACATTTAATTGAGAATTTCAGAGGATAGTATAGTTCTTAGCATATTGAAACAGTAGGAAAAAAATATATCAATGCCATCTTTTTTTTTACTTGTAGTTCTTACTTTTCTGTTTCAGGATGTGTTGTTTTTTCTACGCTTGTTGTTATTTTCTTCATTGAAATTACCAAATTTTATAATTAATAGGTGTGAAGCATAGTTTTATTTCCTAAAGCAGGGGTGATTGTGCTCCGGAAAAAAATCCGGATTTTTTGCTAGCCGCGATCCGAAAGTTTCTGGAAATCCTAAGTCCAGAAGTTTCAAGAAATCATCGAACACATTTATATATAAAAATTATTGTATATTTTATTTAAAAATGTTAGAACTAGAATTTATACTAGAATTATATCTCTTTCATTTGTTAATATTTTTTCTAGTAGAATATGAAATGTTATTAGAGATAAAAGTAAACTTACATATAATTATTCAATTAAATTATGCTGCATATAATTCATTTAGAATGTCATGTTTTCAAAATTTCAATGATTTAAATTTATAAAGATATTAATTTTTTGAATGATTTTGCTCAAGAAATTTTCAGGATTTTTGAGTTGGGTCTACAATCACCCCTGCTAAAGGGATATTACATCTAATGGGTCAGAGGGGATTTGTGATTTGCTTATTTTTAATAACAAAGAGGTATTTGGGATAAAAAAACTGGTTACGTAAGACATTAAAATACGCCTATTTTCAAAACTTTCTAAAAGTGCAAAATGAATTTTAAAAAAATATCAAAAAAGCTACTGTGGAATATTTCAAATAAAAGGTGAATCAGAGAAAAGAAAAAATTCCTTTGATGAATTTCAGAGTTCAAGAGTTATGAACACAAAAGACGCCTAAAAAATACTGGAATTAAAATTTTAGAAAATGTAGTAGAATGTTAACTTCATTTAATTCAAAATGACATATTTTAGTTGAATTTAACCCTAAAACTACAGTAAATCAGTGTCAAAATAAAAGCAAATCCAGGGGTGAGTGTTTTATGATAGCTGGGGGATTTGTGATTTGCTAATTTTCATTGATTAGGAGAGAGTCCAAAATTGCTTATGTAATATATTTAAAAAGTGGTGATAATGTTTCATGATGGCATTAAAAGTTTTAATTTCACTTTAATTATAAGAATTAAATGGGTCAAAATTATATGAAAAAGTGTCAATAAAATTGGTCAATAGGAAATTATGAAAACAATTTGTTTTTTAAATCTTCCTCTTTCATTTTTTAGATTTTTTCCCAAATGTGGCCACTGTGTTCAATGAACTCTTAGCTACATTTAAATTAACGAATATTAATTCAAACATTTCACCTTCTTTCAAAATTTAATTGCTAATTATAATATTCATTAAAAATGATATAATGAGATAATTTTATTTGCCTAAATATTTCAAAAAGTTAATCTCTCTCACTCTTTTTATTATTATCATGCATGCATCTTTCTTTCTTCTTATTTTATTCCTGAGCTCAAACTTTTAACGCATCAAACATTTAATCATTGTATTTAGAGTTGCCCTATCTGCTACTCACAGTTCACTTCTTTTTAAATAAAAAATACTATGAATTATAATTCTTCCAACTGTTTTTTTAAAAAGAAAAATTATGTCGTTATAAATCCAAAGATATCTATTGGAGTATAGATACAGGGGTCTGTCTAGGTTTTTCTGAGAGGTACCTATTTTGTGAAAATTTAGACATAATTTGTGAAAAATTTAAAATTATATTAAAAAAATCAACACAAAAATATGGTAAAAATATGGATTTATCGTTTCTTAAGGGATACAAAAACAAAATTTTAAGAAAAAGTATTGTGAAACTACCGTTTTTCCTTAAGTTGAATTTGTGAAACTACCGTTTTTCCTAAAGTTGAATTTGTGAAGGTACCGCTAAACGGTAGTAAATTCGGCCTGGACAGACCCCTGAGATAGCTAACTTTTGAAGACCTACTGATGCAAATTCAACCTAGTGTTCGTGAGATTAAATAAAATAATTTATTATTCATCAGCTAAGTATATAGTATATCTATCGAAAAATCGTTGTTTTACTCTTACGAGTTAATCAGAAAAATGACTGTTTTGTTTCAATTTTAAGTCCAATTGAGTAATTTTTTATAATGTAATTACATCTTTTAATTTATTATTAAATTATAACATCCAATTTATTATTATATTTTGTTTTCTTCTTTTTTCAAATAAAAGTTTTTGTTATTATTTTGTATAAAATAATGTTATTTAATTTTATCAAAAATTTTAATTTTTATTTCTAAGTTAATTAATGAAAGCTTATGATTTAAAAATAATTTCTTTTTTTTTTAATTTCAGTTGGATGGATAAGAGGTATGTAAAAAGAAGTTGATATACTTGCAAACTGAAACAATTACTAATTAACTGAAACTGGTTAATTTATTTTACTTTATACCAATATATTGACTGAAGAATTCATTAAAATGTGCCATTCATTTTTAAAAATGCTTGATTATAATATTTGGATTCAATGTCTGGTGAAGTTAATGAGTTGGATGTGTTTTTAAAACAATATATTATGCCTGTAGATATATAGATATCAGTTTAAATTTAAATCCCATCTAGGAAAAATTAAAATATGCCATGTTTAACTTCAACTCAGGGATGATAAGTTTCTTCTAGACTGAAAAATACTGTGGAAGAAGTCACCCTAGATGAAATAGGTTTCTTTCAAGCCCAGTGAAGAAGCTAGTTTTAAAAAAGAAATTTTAAGTTCCAAAATCTTTTTTTTTTAACTGCTTATAATGGACTAATTAATACCTAAAATCGCTAAAGATTAAAATATTTAAAGTGGGAAAAATTCATGAAAATTTACCCAGTTGAGAAAATTTTTAACAAAGCAATATTTTTTAAAGAAATACTTGTAATGCTAATCAAAACTATGCTTTAAATACAAATAATTCTATTTGTGTAGAATTATTAAAAATATAATAAATTTTTCTTAAAACAGAGTATGATTTATGCTGAGGAACTAAAATAATATAACTATTCATGATTTATCTAGATATGAGTATAAATAATTATTTAGGGAAATGAGGATATTTTAAATACAATTTAAAAATCTGTTATTACTATAGTAGTAGTTTTATTGGTTTTGCTATTCTCTAAGAAACTAAAATTAATAGAATGAAAGAAGTAATTTTTTTAAAAATTACACTTAAAAAACTTTTTTCTTTTGTTATAATAGATTTTATTAGTTTAACTATAAAAAATTATACTTATAGTTCTTGTTGCGAACAATTGTATTTGCTACTTCTAGTTTCTTCAATTTCTTCTGGGTTTTTTCAATGTCCTAAATGAAAAAGGTTTCTTCTTGTAAAAATCTCCACCCTGTTTCGTATGATGTTGTTAACATTATTCCTATTGATATAAATTTGGAAATTTCTTTACAAAACTAATTCAAAGTTTAGTGATAATTTTTTCCTCAGAGTTAGTTACTTTTTATTTATTTATTTCAAAAAAGTTTAAATATTCTGTGGGGATCTTACTTTGGCCTGTTAGAATAAATATCTTTGAAGTTATTTTGTAAGACTATTTTTTATTAAATAATTTTGAGCTATATTTTAAATGTTATAATATATAGATAGTTCAGGAGAGATTTTTCTGGAAAAATTGGTTATATATAAAATTGGCTTCTTAGAATTAATTGCAATATATTGCTGTAAAATGATTTTTTTAAAAAATCAGATATGAGTTATTAAATAGAATAATTAGCATGAATCTTAAATTTTAAATTGCGCTTTTACTTTTTAATTTACCCTTTTCTAAAAAATTCTCTTTTAGCAGTATATTAAATTTTTAAAAAGATGTATTCCAATAATGGACATTAGAGAGTCCTCAAATAAATATTACCTTTTACTCAGTTACATTCAATAAATATGACTTAAGCCTAATATAGTTTAAGTAATGAGGGAAACATCAGACTTAATTATTTAATTATCTCATAAAATCTAAGCTTATTATGTTATTTAATGCAATAAAGTATCAATTTCATTAAAGACGTCATAATAATTTGTCACTAACTTTTGATATTTTGTGTATAAAAAATAATTATGTTTTTAATTGCCAATTTTTTTCTTTCTTTTATTGTAGGAGAGGATGCATTGGAGGCACAAAATAGATATCACACTGAAGAGTTGTCAAAGAAAATTTCAAAACTGAAATCTGTAAGTAAAATAAGATGTTTAACTTTCTTGTGTCACTGTTATGACTTAGTGTCAGGAGTCTGTCTAGGGAAAATTTGCTACCACTTAGCAGTACCTTCACAAATTCTGTTTTAGGAACACCGGTAGTTTCACAAAATACTTTTAATAAAACAAAGATTCTCCTCTCCGCCTCTTAAAATTTTGTTTTTGTATGACCTAGTTAAAAATATTCTCATAATGGAAGTGCTAGTACTGTTAAATGCATGTTTTTATTAAATTCAAGTTGAAATTTAACTATGGACAAGGGTTTTTATGGATTTTTAAATTTGGATAAAATTTTAAGCCCAAAATTTTGCAATAGCAAAATTTTTTTTGAATGTATGGAGAAAAACTTATAATAGAAACAGGGTTGGGTTTTTGCTGTCAAAAACTGGTTTTTGACATGACAGCGGTAAAAACCATGTTTTTACCGGTAAAAACCGTCAAAAACCTACTGTTTTCTTTAATTTATGGCATATAGCAGGCAATATATTATTTTCACATAATTGCCTTGTTACATGAATGTTGTAAATGATTGCTATTGATTTTGCAACTACATACATGTATTCTTATAGAAGGATATACATTCATATAGAAATATTGTAATATACTTATTGAAAATAGTGATACTTACTTTTATCATTATAGCTTGATTTGCAAAGGATTCAAAATTTTGCACTTCTTAATTGTTAGAAATAAACAAACAAACAAAAAAGCTTGGAACTATTAATAAATTCAAGAACTAAAAAGAAGAATTTAAAATTTGGCATTTCTTAAATATTAGAAATAAGCTAAACAAAACTTTCAAAACTTGTAACTACTAACAAACTCTAAGTCAAGAATGACTTGACATTCTTCAGTAATGTAATATGCCAAACAAAATGATGCTTGGAAATGTTGAAAATTTTGTTTAGTATCCTAATATTTTACTTCAAATAGTATGTTTTGATATAATCATGTTGGGAAAATGCAAGAATCTGTTCTTAAATATCTTTTAACAACTTTTTTTCTAATTTTATTGCCCAAAAATGAATTAATTTTAAATTATAAGCAGTTAAACTCAAAAATACACTTTTACCAAAACTATGGGTTTTTGACAGTTTTTGACGTTTTTGACATGACGGTAAAAACCATGGTATAAACCGGTAAAAACCGTCACGTGTCAAAAACTTGCCAACCCTGAATAGAAACTTACCAGTCATAAATAATTTTTATTTGTAGTGACAATTTTTGAAAATATTTTCTTACTTTACCATATTTTTGTGTTAATATTTTAATATAATTTTTAATTTTCACATCCATACTGCTTTTTTTTAAACTAATTATACTAGCCAAAAACAGTTTCTTCGTACAGGATAAAAAGAAAGGTAAATAATTAAAAAATCGGTGTTAATCAACATTACAAAATCGTGCACTGAACTGAAAGGCATTGTACCAACACAATAAAGCTAAAAGAACAATTCCGTTAATCAATAAAAAATAATGATTTTTGAGAATTTTCATAATAATCTTTTAAATATAAGGTTTTTTCACCCTTAACTACCAAGAGTTCTGAAATTTTGCTGTTTGTAATGAATATGTGAAAAAAAAAAACACTTAAATTTGACTTTCTTTATTTAATAGTAAATTAATGTATAATATTAGCAGTGCTCTCCCTAAAAAGTTTTTAGAAGGGTACCCCCCTGCCTGCCTTAAATGTGCCCTTTTGTGTAAAAATTAACTGCCATCCCTTAATAACACTGCCTTTTTTTTCATATTTCATTTTTAAGAAAAATTAATTAACTGTTAACATAATTACACACAAAAATTATCTATATTTATAGGTTTAATTCTGATTGCTATTACAAATATTTACTTTGTTAGAAAGTTTCTCTTTTTTCAATGGAGTATATTAATACATTTTTAAGTGATTTTAAATTTTTACTTTCTTTTTTTGAAGAAAGAAATATATATGCACAGAGATTGTCTCTTAACATACCTTTAATTGTTATTTATAAACTACAAAATGAGTGAAAATTACTTTTTGAAATATGCACATAAAATAGTACAGGGCGGTAACTTAAATGGCAATATTACACGTTTTGATACAATTTATTTTACAGTGTTGAATGAGTGCCCTTTCAAAACTCAAAGTGCCTTTTTCTGTGAAGAAGCACCCTGCCCTCTTATATTCTTAGGGAGAACTTTGATATTAGGTGTATACTTATATGGAATTAAGTTGTAAAACACCTTGAAATTGCACTAATTTGAAATTTGTTAATGTTATATGTATTATTGTTGCTCTGATTACGGATTCCTAGATGGAAAAGTTGGCACTTCTGCTTGTTACAATTCTTCTTAGTCAACTCATAGTACTCAGATTTGACACAATCAAGTAATTTTCTGCGGTCTTCATCCCTTTCAGAGGGCCATACAAAAACTACTACCACAGTGCCAACGTTAAATATTTATATTAATTCATACAGCATTAATTTAAGCAGCACCTATTGCAAAAATTAATAAAGCATTATTGGCATCAATAATAGTTTGACAATTTCTTCCTTTCCTCACTTTTATTTATGCAGTGAAACCTCTCAGGTTGTTCCACTGTAAAATGGTCGTTAATGGAGGTGGGTCATTCTTTGGTTGTACCTCCATTATCTTATCGAAAATACACGATTTTTCACAAACTATTATAATTTTAGTCAGTGTCATTTTCTTGGTACGAAAATGCCACATCTGTTGGCGTCATGAAAACCAGTTCGATGAATAAAACTTAGCGTCAATAAAAATTATCTCTACTGATATAATTATGTGTAAAAACAAATTTACTAATTATGAATGATAGAAGTATTTTAAATGAATAAACTCTGTTTTTTTGTATAAGTTTACATTCAGTTTCAATTTATCATGAAAATTAGTAAGCTTTAAAAGATAAGAACAGGTTTGTTTGTTTAAGATGCTTCGTTTTTTCTAAAATAACTTTTTTTCTAAATTAACTTTCAATTCTTAAAATCAATCATTGACAGCATCGTCTCGAGTGCACTCAACATGTGGTTGTAGATCTCCAGTGTTTTCACTACAGCGCGAGAACGCGAGAATCTCGCATATTTTTTTCTTTTCTCGCATTAAAAAATGATTACCGCGAGAAATTCGCGCATTCTATAAACCAATTTCAAAATTCGCGAATTTCTCGCATTTTGAAAAAAATTTCTCATTGCGCCATTTAGAATAAAATCCGTTTCACTTTTCTTCCTGGATCTTTCATTATTTTCAACATCTGCCCCATTATCTAGCTTCCCTGTTTACCAGTATTGTTCAGAATCTTTAAGAACTACAGAACACCATCCCTCCGAACCTCTTTCAGAACGCATTTCTCTGCAACCACGTGTTTACTGTAGGTAAAGTTTCTTCATGTAAGACGTTCAAATTTTTTGCGCATTAATGCAAGATGGACAAATACCTTGTAAAGGCAATATCTTCTACTCCGAAACGGACAAATGAAAATGAAACAAATGTGGGTAGAAACGATCAAAACGAAACAAATACGCATTTGAGTTACCTAATGAGAATAGCTGATGAAAAAGTAGATATAGAACATTTTCCATATGATGATGCAGCAAAAATATTCAATACTTTAAAAATTAGAAGATATTAAAAATGTATTATAATTAAAGAAATGATTTTTTTCATGTCTCTTAGTGTGTTTTTTTTTTTTTTTTTAATTTTTAGAAATCTCACTTAACTTTTTGAAATCTCACCCTGTTTTTGAGAAAGGGTGAGAAATTCTCACCCATTTTTTTTCTGCGATGAAAACACTGCTTTCAGAGATTGTTAGAAAGAGCTCTCTAAATAAAAGTCCCACACAAATAATTTGAACATCTACTTATTTATTTTCTTTTGATATTGTTTCGTGTTTCCTTGTTTGGCTTTTCCTCCATTTGGTGTGTTGGTTTACCTGTTCACTGGAAGAGGTTTTGATGGTCTCTACTAAAGATTTTCTTCAACAATGAGTCTATGGAAAAAAATTCCTTTCCTCCCAAAAGAGGTCGCTACACAGAAGTGGTTTTCCTAGAGGTTTCACTGTAATTTTTTTCTTATTATTTCTATTTTTTCTTATTATTTCAATTCATTAAACTCATCTAAAACACAATTTTATATTTACTTATTATAAGGTTGATTATTCTTGCTTGTAAGTAAAGAAATACAGTTTACACTGCTTATTAAAATTATATTTGTACTGGGAATATAAGTGTGCCCAGACATTTTTATATGCGTAAGGACACTATAAAAGTGAATTTACACTCAAAGGTGTTTTCAATAAATAAGATTTTTCACTGATAAGACTAAACGCTGGATTTCACTTCATTTTAGTCAAAAAAGTATTTCTGTTTAAATTATTACATATTTTGTTTGTGAAACACAAGCATTCTCAGCAACACTTTCAACTTCTTTTGCTTCAACTTTGATTTTAAAGCTTAACTCATAAGTTTTAATCTTGATAAAGTTGTGCTAATTAATCAGTAAAAATGATTAATGGTCAAAAAGATAAAACTACAAATGAAGAGTATAATTTGCTGTACTTAATTAAAGGCAAGTTTTATTACAAATAAATAAGAAAATGTATTCTTTTTAATTTCAGAATAACTTTCTTTGTAGCAGAAAGTTTAAATATTTTCTAGTACTATATTTTTATGAATGAAGTACTGAACAACTCATTATATTTAGAGATCAATAAATAAAAAGAACCGTTGCATTTAAAAAAAAAAAAAAGGNATTTTTAAAAAAAAAAAAAAAAAAAAAAACGGTTTCAATTAGTTAATACTCCCTCATATCAATATTTAAATTCTTTCTTTGTAATTGAGTGAGACTTCCTTAAATGATTTTAAAGTGAGGTGTTAATAACATAGAAAACGAAGGGAAATGCTGCTTAACATTTTTGTACAAAAATAATTTAGTCTATGATCCCTCAATTTAAAACTTTTATGATAGAAATACTGTATGGTTGTGAGGATTCAAATCCTTTTTAAAAATCAGACGAAAGCGACAAATTAATTGTAAACTACAAAACTACTCTCTTCCCAACAAGATTTATTACTATATTTGCCTAAATTCATTACCATAAAAAAAGTTTAATGTAAAATTGTTAATTAAGATTTTTTTTCATGAAATCACTGGTATTAATCCTACGTGTGAGGCCATGTGTCCAAATCATGCATATAATTAGCATGATTTGGTAAGTTCTAACTACCAAATTTTGCAATTTTATTATTAAATTAATTTAAATAAAAATATGTTGGATTAAAAGTTAAAATTTTTCAGTTCTTCAAATCTTTTCTTTTTTTTTAAAATTTACATTTGTATTCATAAAAAATAGGATGTTCTGAACTGAAACAAGAATCAAGAACATCAGGTTACGAAACTGAAAATCAGGATAACTACGAGCCCTGTGGTTCAGTTTTTGCAGATATGAATTTTAAAAACTTCTGATTTTATAATTCTGTTATTTTATTAGTGGTGATAACTGTACTGATTTTTTATAGCTTACTTAGAAAGTGATTAAGGAAAATTAATTAATGTATCAGCAATTATATGCACTTTCTTTATTTTCTTTAAAATTTTGATGTTATTTCAAAAATATTTGATACATTAATCATTGGAGCTATAACTAAAACATTAGTATAGAAATTATTGAATTTTTGTGACAATTTTTTCCTGACTTATCTTTCTTTTGAAAGTTTCTGGTAGATCTTATGTTGTCTGTAGGAAATATGCAAAACCAAGTTCAAATCAAATCGAACAAAATTGGTGAGCTTTTTCATTCATTTGAAAAGTATGCTGTTGTAAGATATATTGTTTTAAATCTTTGATAAATTTTATTTTGATGAAGAAGAAATTTTTGTTAGACACAACATTTGTAATTGTTTAATAATTAGGGTTTCCTAAATTTTTTACCTACATTTGCAGTATGTTAATAAGAGTAATTTTAATATTCCATTAAAAATATTTTATTATTATTAAATGAAATAAAGAAAATAATTTCAATGTTTTCTTTTTTTAATCCCATTATAGGCAGCATATGATATTGAAGTGGAAGCCAAGGATAGTGTTAGATTACTAGATGATGTGGTAATTTAGCTTTTACTTTCTTTTAAAACTAGCTTTCCTTAAGAATAATTGTATGATAGTTAAGGTTCACACCAACAATAAAAATTTAGTAGTACAATAAAATCACTTATCATTTAGTGGTCTAAAAAATTAATATGGTAGACAAGCTTGAAAAAAAAAATCGAACTTCATAATTAGCGATTGCAACACACAGATACGCCACCTGAGGAGAAAACTGGTTCCATTTCTTGTCCTCTTCTTCTCAGTTATATAGAAATGTATTATGATGTTTTCCACAAAAAGGGTTTTTAAAATTCTCACAACACTTTCTTTTAGAACTATGCTTAATGTAGTTTTCAGTTTAGTAATTTAAAAGTTTTTAATCTATTTGAAAATCGAAACAGAAAGTAATGTACTTCCTTCTATGACTCCCCACATGCTAATGGCAAAAGCATGTAAAGTGTTGCCATAGGTAGCGAGTTCTGCTCTACGCTACCTGTAGCCCATTTCGATCACCAATTGCATAATTCATGTTATGGTACACATCAAAAAATAATTATTGTTATATATGACACCCTAAAACTAACCCGTCATGATTAAAGATTAGTATTTATTAAAATTAAGGCTAAAAAAGGGTAAAATAATATAAACAAGTAGATTCAACATAGAAATTGAAAAGCTAAAGAATGAATATAAACAAATAGATTCAACATAGAAATTGAAAAGCTAAAATCAGATAAATATATAAATGAGAAAAACAGAGAAAATAATAACTAACAAAATATTATATTAAAAATTAATTATCTTAAAATTTAATAATAATCAATTCTAAATGAGCAACAAAAATTTTTTTTAATTAATGAACAATTATACTTTTAGTACATTATTGCAAAGTATAGCATAACATGTAAATTTGAAATTTTAACATTTAAATTTAACCACACGTATAACAGTAAAATTAGTACAAAATTTTTTTTTAAATGCTTGGAAATTGATACAAAAAACTTTTTTTCGTTTTTATTTTGTTAATTTCAAAGTGATGAATTTGTCGCCCCTGTCTATGATTCTGGCGACATTTGTAGATGAATTGACAATTGTCGCCAAGGAATCCGTACTGGCATAAATGCTACTGATAGTTAAATTATAGATATCTATCTCCTTTCCTGAAAATTAGTTAGAAATATATAATATCCTTTTGGATATAATTTAACGTACTATTGATTTTTATTATTAGACTTATAATTAAGAGATTTTTTTTTTACTTTTAGTTAAATTTTGTCTCTTAAAACCACTGATAACTCAATGAATTTTTTTCTTAACAAAGGAGCTTGTTTACCTCAAGGATTGTGGGTTTTTATAGAAAATTTGATCTCACAATCTAATTACAACAAATAATTTGCTGTAAATACATTAAATTTTATTTTAAATTTCATAAAGATTCCATTGATAAGAGAAAAAAAGACTGAATTTTATTATCAAATCACTTGTCAATGTAGTCTTTCTTAGAATAGATATACAAAAGGTACCCTTAAACAAAGACAGAGTAAGGAAGTAGCATGCTACAGGTAGCAAAACTACATTACTTGCTACATTTTTTCATAATTTGTAGAGTAGTACAGTAAAAATTTTTTTTTAAAAAATGTGTTGTGAGTAGTGCCATTAAAAAGAAACAGTAGTTTGTATACCTGGCAACTACTTTAAACGTTAGTTTGGAAAAGAAACAAGTCTCAAACAACTCATTTTTTTTATCTGATTGGTACAAATCTTTGCAAGTGTGTCAATGGACACAATGACAATGCCCCTGTGGCTGAGCATTAATAAGAATTATGCATTATCATTATTAAAACTTACAATTACGAATAGTTTATTTATAACTTTGGACACCCCTTCATGCGCAAATGTATGCTCATAAAACAGTGATGTTATTTTAATGGAAAGGAACATATTTTCTCTGTAACTTTCGAAGTATTTTATTTCTTAGAGGAAATAAAAGAGCATTAAATATTCACTGTCGAGAAAGTCATAAAAAATTGAAGGTTAAAAGAACGAATTTGTAAAAAAAATGGTTTAGAATAATAGATCAGCTCATGTACTTAAAGAATAAATATTTCTGACTAATACCTCCTGCTAAAATAACCCAATAAAAACCATTTTGGACATGAGTGTAGAATTAAGTTCAAAGCTCGTATCTTAAAAGTAGTGAACTACAACTGGTAATAAAGCAGATGTAATTATGTGGTTCTTTAACTCACTGAATAAGATAACTACAAAATGAAGCATTAATTGTTCTTCCCTCCTGCAATATTGTTGAAGTTCAAAAATATTGCTTTGAATTTGTAACAGCTAAAATAATTCAGCGCTTGATCTACCTTTCTTTACCTGGGTTTCATGTTTTTAAAAATGCATTGGACTTAAATTTGTGATCATTCTACCAATTAATATTTTCCGAACATGTAGAAATCTTTCTTTTAATTATTTTTATTATTTTACGAACCACCTGCATTTCTTTCTTTTTATTTTTTTTTTTTTTTTTTTTTTTTTTTTTGTATGGTGTCTGCCTCACTCAACTCCCATTTCTCCTTGCTCTGCTTTGCTTTCTTGGTTAATTAGTACAACTAGATTGATTTGGTATTTCCTCTTCAACCTGTATCTCAACATTGCTTGCAGAAGGGGTCTTCAACTTTTTGCGCCAGAAAGACAATGATACGATGAATTCGAAAAATTTTGTAATAATGAGAAACTTATCACAGTGCTCCCATGGGCCAGGGAAAACCTGGAATTGCCAGGGAATTTTACTTTAGCTCTAAAAAGCATTTAATAGAATAGTCAGTGAAAATTGCAATTTTTTACTAAAAACCTGGAAAATAACCAGTCTTAGAATTGTCAGTAACAGTAATAAATTATTGAGATTCGAGTTAAATAATTCTAACATCTATTACAATTATTTTATAAAATTCTAAATTTTAGTTAAACTTTTCCATGTCTCCATTCTCATTCTATTATGCAGAGGTAATTGTGACACAAACTGAAAAACCCTGAAAATTTAATGTGCAAAATATCAATATTAAGATAAAAATTTCATAGTTAACATAATTTTTTAAACTAACATTCATAATTAAATTACCTACTAATGAACTGTATCATACCTTTTTAATAACTAATTCAAGAGAAAACTTACCTCTAACAAGGAAAGCGATATTGGATTTTAAAACTTCGTGTATATGAATTGAGACATTGTACTTGAAAAACAAGAAAATACAAATTCCGATATTGAATTTTTAAATGGCGTAAGTACGAATTACGGTGCATAATTTTTAGTTCGCATAAATACAAGTCATAATGTGCACTTTTTAAATACGAAAATGGATGTTTCATATTACAACAGCTTGAATACGACTATCAATATTGGATTTTAAACTCGCATGAATATAAAACAGGTTATTGGATTTTTGAATCGCGTGAATAAAAAACGCGATATACGATTTTTAAATTGAGTGAGAAACGAATCCTAATGCGTAAGTTTTTAACCAGGTAAATACAAAAATCGATGATTGATATTCGACCGACGTGAATGAGCATCGTGAGGCGGATATACCAAAATTTCGTCGAATTATAAGTTTTGGATTCGCGGAAGTCTGCGAACTAATGGTCTTGAGATGCGATGCGGTACTCACGATTTTTGCAGAAAAACCACCACACCCTGCTTCTAGTTTTTAGATCCGGAAGAATTATACGAAAAACCCGGAATTCCAGTGTGCAATCACCCCTGATTTATGTTTTTGCTCACACAATTTAATATTTGACACTATGAATAAAAAAAAGTTTTCTGATGAAAAATTTTATGGATTTTCATTCAAATTCACCTGATATACCTGGAAAAATCAGGGAAATTTTTTTCTAAAATTGAGTGAGAACTCTATTATAAGCAGAAGAGAGGTGATTTCAGTGAAGGTAATTAACATTTCGATTTTTTAACTGTTCATATTTTTACTAAAATCATTTTATGTATTATTTTCTGAAACAGATAAAATATGATACTTAATTTACAACAGTAAGAAATAAATAAAACATTATAAAAGAGATGATAATCATTTCAAATTAAATGTGCAGTGACATTTTTTTGTTCTTTGATCAAATTAATCTGTTAAATGTTTTGTTATGTCTCTCAGTAAAATAAACAGACTATAGTTATAGCCAATCTTATGCAAGCATTAGTCACGAATTTTATTCCACATAATCATCCATTATTTTTAACAGAACAACACGATTCGACAGACGGGCCACTAAGGTAACATCGGAGGGCAACACGTTGCAGACCCTTAACCTATGTTGTTGTTGTTTCTAATCCCCAAGAGGTCCATCCTAATTAGACCAATTCCATAAGTCTAAAAACAGATGAGGTTTTGAAAAAACCTCGTTGATCTTAAAATCGATGCAGTTTAGAATATGCTCGGGAGAAGCCTGAGCAGTCTTACATTTAGTGCAAAGTCCAAAAGTCTTTTGCCCCTGAACATACGAGAGACACCTCAAGTGACCACTTGCAAAGCGAGATAAACAAGTCTGCTGGCTTCTAGGTCCCTCAAAAAGCAAGGCACTTCCAGGTCGTTTTCTGAAATACCAACTATGCGGAGGAGGAACCCTCCAGAGGTCCATAAACATTTTTTTGCACTCTGAAAAGACCTCGTTGAAAGTGGAAGGTAGATCTGGCTGTAGAGGTTCCAAAGAAGCATCTTTAGCCAGTGAGTCCGCCATCTCGTTACCTTTGATTCCAACGTGTGATGGAATCCATTGGAAGTGTACTCCAAAGTCCGCAGAGAGCCTGAAGAGCATCCCCAAAATTGAAGCCGCAGCCCTGTCTCCAACATTCCTCCAGTTGCTAAGGTGTTGGATTGAAGATTTGCTATCCGTCAGTATCCATATATGCTTAAAGTCAGGCTCAGCAATATTCTCAACATGTCTTAGGCCATTTTCAATCGTAATAAGCTCAGATCTGAAAACCGAGCAAAATTCAGAATTTCTAACTTTGAGACTCAATGTGTACGTGAGTGTTTTAATAAAAACCCCACTGCCTGAATGACCTTCTTCGCTCTTGCTGCCATCTGTGTATAGTTGTAAAGCATCTGTTGGTATTTGGCTAATACAGTAGGGAACCGATTATCCGGAACGATCGGGACCATCGCTATTCCGGATAACTGATTTTTCCGGTTTTCTGAATCGCTACAAAAAGCCGTTTTTTTATTGTTAAACCCAACTAAAAATTTTTCTTTTTGGAAATAATCTTAGAAAGAAGAAAAAGCGATGAAGTAATACACTAATGATTATTTCCAAAATGATGGTAAGGTAAACACCTTTCAAAAAAGAAAGAAAAACCCTAAAATCTTGTGAGGAAAAAAAAAATAAAAAATTTTTAAATTGCGGGAAAATTTATCGAATTTTTGTTCTGGTTTTCCGGTTTTCTGATTTCGGGATAACGGGTTCTGTACTGTAGTTTCAAGAGCCATTTGTCTCATAAATTCTGGGTTGTCTTTACTTTTATGGGCCGGGTGCAACAGCTCTGTATGGAAATGGATACCAGAAGAATCAGTAACAGGGCTAAAGCATGACCTCAAGGAATGAGGTTTAATTCGGCAGGGATATTGCAAGTCTACAAGGTGAATTGAAACAGCCAAAGAGAAGGGACTGATTCTCTTCAGTCTATGGTTATTTTTCCAATTTTTGAGATAGTAAGAGGTTCTGTTCTGGCCACCAAAACTGATGAGCTTATTGTAATATTTCTTGAGACTGGAGTTCCTTCTCATGTATAACGGCTGGAGGTCAGACTCAAACAGAACAATTTTATCTGGACAGCTCCAGATAAAATCCCTTAACCTATAGCACTACTGATATGTTCAAACACTGAAAACTATGCTCTGATTTTTAATGGATCTTATAACACATTTGTTTACTTTGTAGGACAATGAATTCGATAGTGGCTCTGGATTTCTTTCGGGAAGCTTGAATAAAATGAATAAGATGATGTTCACTGGAAGAAGTGATCGTAGACTTATGTGCTATGTTGTCTTAATAACTGTTGGTTTGTTTATTGTATTTTATTATTTAGCCAACAAAGTCACCAGGTGAAAGTACGCATTATCTGAAGACAAGTCAATCACTGAAGTGTATATAATTTGTGTAGATATATTGTTTAAAATTATGTTCTATCGTTCTGTGTAAATAAAATTATCCATAATAACAGTGTATGACCTGTTATATTTTTAATGTAGTGCAAATTTCATGACGACTGCTATTCATCAGCACTGTCTAAAACGTTCTTGATCAATCAACTATATACATACGAAAGACATGTCATTGGCTAATTGGAAAATGTGACCCTTCACAAACTGCCGACTGTTGGACTGATTAAAGTGAACTTTATAGGCATGTTGCAGAGATATGAGTCATTTGTAAAATGCTGCATTTACCAAATAGCCTATGACGCATATTACCTATTGTTTCAAACAAGAGGATGTATTACCTAAAAAAATGGATAATTCAACATATGATTCTTTAGTATTTGCTAAAAAAAATTTGAAACTTAAAGGCTTGGCTGCTCCAGTGAAAAAGTAAATTGCATAATTCCAAAGAAACGTTCTTGTAAAAGTTACTCTACAGCAGGGGTTGCCAAACTTTTTTGATCATCGACCCCTACATAATTTTTCGAAATCTCCATCGACCCCCATAAAAGTAGTTTTCTGTTAATTAAAATAAAGCTCTATTAGATACTGTGTTAGTACATTTATTTTATGATTTTGAACATAATTGTACATAGTGTTAAGTAATAGTACATAGTGTAACAATAGTTTTATGAAAAATATATTAATGTTGAAATATAAATACCTTAATATTTATGAAATAATAAGTAATTATAAGCAGGGCCGTTTTACCCATTAGGCAACTGCCTAGGGGCCCCGCCACGTTCAGTGGCCCTGTGGTACAGAGAAAAAAATTCAACAACTTTCCCGAATGTAATGACAGCTTTGCAAATATATAGAAGTCTAATGATTACAAACGCCACTGGTGAACGAAACTTTTCCAAATTGAAATTAATTAAAAACTGGTTTCGTTCAACTATGTCTCAAAACCGTTTAAATTCATTGGCCATAATGGCAATTGAAAATGATGTATTGGAAAAGGTTAACTTTTAGGATGTCTTGAACGATTTTGTAACAAAAAAAGTTAGAAGAGTTAATATTTAAGCTTATTGTATGATTTTTTTTAAATGCATATATTAATTACTTATGTTCTTTTCGTTTGATTCAATATTTTTATTGAATAATGTGATAATATACCTATGTAGTAAAAAAAAGTGTTGTGTTAGCGAAAAAAGACGGTAGGGGGGGGGAGGCGAGACGAGCATTGCCTAGGGGCCGCGACATGCATAAGCCGGCCCTGATTATAAGTAAGTAGAAATAATAAGTAAAGTAACTACGGATTTATTGCTTCTTAATCAATGACATGGGTGTGCCTGGTGCATTTTTTTTCTTCTGCAAGATTCGTTATATTGGGATCAAAATTGGTCAATTTTAATCTTAAATCCCCTCGAAACTCCACATTTAATTTATTTCTGTTCTTAGTTAAGATTGAATTTACGTGACTGAAACCGGCTTCAACCATATAGGAAATTGGAAATGCTATCATAAATGGCTGAGCTATTTCGTAAAGTCTTACATATTTTTGCATTATAATTATATTTGTCCAAAATTTGCTTGTTAAATTTTTAAAGAGCGTCTTTGCTTTAAATCCCCATAATAATTCAGCAAGCTCATCTTGCAGGTTGATGTCCACGTTTTCAATTTGAGCAAAAAATGGCACAATAATCCAATCGGGGATGTCAATGTTTTCCAAATCAACAAAATGCAGTTTAAAATCGTCGCTCAATTTTTGAAGATTACCTGTATATATTTCCAAGTCTTCTTTTATTTCTAATTGTCACATATCTGAAAAATACTGATAATCCTTCAACCAATCGACCCCCGCTTATGTTAAATAGACACCTGGGGGTCTATATAGACCACTTTGGCGACCTCTGCTCTACAGTGACTTTAACAGACTACTAAACCGATAAATGTCATCTTCCTCAAAAGCTGAGCTATATGTAATACTGCACTTAATAACACAGTTTTACCCAAAAATTGGCAAATATCAACCTTTTTTTAATGACTAATATGACCTTTGTGGGGGGGGGCACCAAAGTCGTAAACCCGCCTTGCTGGTAGGCAGGCCATGTGTGGTTACCAAATATTGCATTTGTACCTAAATATTTTGTGGCTGGTATAATGTCAAAGCTGCACTTCAATGTCTTTAGTTTAAAAGCAATAAATGTCTACTTCCTTAAAAGACTAGCTATACCTAATGCTGCTCTTTACAATAAAGTTTTACATAAAAATTTATAAGTGTCTACCTCTAACTTTACAGTAAAATTTGAATGATATAAAAGAATTATCAGTGTTTCAATTACCTCATACTGAGCATTTTTTTTTCTGTTCCTAATGTTAAAGAGAGAAGTTAACTTAGAGATATTTGCATCACAAATTATGATTTAAATTTTGTATTTCATAGCTAAAATATTCGTCTAAATAAATTTTAATAATGTAGTTTTGTTAATTTTTGTAAACTTTTAAAGTAATGAAACTAAAAATTTTTTAAAAAAACTTATCTTTCACTAAAAGATTCTAAACAGCTATCATGAATATAAATTTATAGTATTAAATACAGTTTGAAATTTTCTGGTATATTTGTGCAGAAAATAATCCCATTCTAGAATCAGCCAATGGTTGTTCATTTGAAAGAATTTTATTCTAAAAACAATTTTCTCACATCTTATTATCTAGTTCATTTTTGCATCAATTGTTTGCTATCTTAAATTAAAAGAAAGAATACCAATAAAGATTCTAAATCTTTTTATTAATAGCATATCAACTGAAATATACAAACATATTTACATTATACCTCAGGCATAAATTTTAAGGCTACATACTGAGAAAAATAATAAACAAGAGATCATATGTGAAAGAACAGAACAATATGACTTTATCACATACGAAATTGAGATCTATTGTTGCAATTTAAGTTAACCGTAATGTGATGATTAAACTATATTAAAAGTTCTTCAATATCTTTCCCCAATTGAAATTTTTTTTAAAAGGTACAGTGTGATAGTTCTTAACTCATTAAGTTAAATTTCAAACAGTATACACTATCTTGCTGTTAAGAATTATCTGGACTTAAAAACAAAAAATTTAAATATTTAAAAAAAGTTATACTTATCGCAAAATTGGGGAAGTTTATTTTCTTACTAAAAGATATCAATGAATAAATTCAAATTTTTGTCAGTCCAACGAATGCAGCATTTGAATAATTTATCAATTATTAAAAAAGACCCAAATTGCCTTTTTTAATTTTTGCAAAACTGGCTTAGTTTCATAATAAGGATAAAGAACAGATCATAATCAAACATTCATTAATAATGACAAATTCACAGTTTAAAATGTAGCATTTTATATGATGACAAAGCCTTATAAGAAGATCCGTTATAGTAATCCCTAAACAGCAAACTGAAATGATTACTTTTAAGTCCCTTGACATAATAAACATATTAATTTCTTTTATAGTAAGCTAAAAACCATAAATCTATAGCTATTATTTTACAATGGTAGGATTATATATAATATTGATAAAGTCTCGGACCCATTTTGATGTTTAATAACTCATAAAATAATAAAGATAGATTAAAATTAATAACATAAATGGTTAGATAGACTCAAAAAGTTTCATGACCCTTGTCAATGAACTTCCACGTGTGACCCCTTCGTCGCACGGAGAATATCAAGTCGATAGTCAATTTCACGCCAGGTAGCGGCAAGCATGTCAGCATCCACAGAGGCTATTGCGGTTTTCTGAAGAGCATAATGTTCTCCTTTATGTTTCTGGCATTGTTAATCGCCATAATGTGCGCATATGGGGATCTGAAAACCCCTGTGAATACCGTGAGACACAAAGGGATTCCCCAAAGGTTAATGTGTGGTGTGGACTAAATCACGACCGAGTCATTGGGCCTTTTTTTTCCACAGAAAAGTTCTCATCAGTCGTATACTTAGACATGTTGGAAAACTTCATATTTCCACAACTAGAAGAGCTTCAGCCACATGTCTTTTTGCAACAAGATGGTGCACCACCTCATTGGGGTATCCACGTGTGATCAGTATTTCCACAACTAGAAGAGCTTCAGCCACATGTCTTTTTGCAACAAGATGGTGCACCACCTCATTGGGGTATCATCGTTCGTAGTTCTTTGAATGACCATTTTCCCGGAAGATGGATTGGGCGAGGAGGTCCAATTCCTTGGCCACCCAGATCACCTGATATAACGCCACTGGACTTTTTTCTTTGGGGATTTATAAAGAACAATGTTTGCAGGAGGATTGTGTCGAACATTGATGACCTAAAAGCCAGAATTACAACCGCAATAGCGTCTCTGGATGCGGACATGCTTGCCGCTACCTGGCATGAAATTGGCTATCGACTTGATATTCTCCGTGCGACGAAGGGGGCACATGTGGAAGTTCATTGACAAGGGTCATGAAACTTTTTGAGCCTATCTAACCATTTATGTTGGTAATTTCAATCTATCTTTATTATTTGATGAGTTATTAAACATCAAAATGGGTCCGGGACTTTATAAACACCCTGTATATATATATATTTTTATCAGAAAGTAGATTATTTACATATTACTGTAGAAAAATGAAACATTTACAGTCCATGAGTTATATTTTGACTAATGAGTAAAATAAGCTTCAACATATTTAAATATAGAGAGGTTCATAATCGAAGGTTCATAAAAATAACTTTGAATAAAATTATCAACCAAATAAATTCATTTCTGAGCAAAGAAATAAAGGTTTCTCCCCAAATTGCAAAAATAAACAAATCGTCCACAAATTTAAAAGAAAATTAAGAAAACTAGGGTTTTTTTTTTAGAAAAAAAATTTGTAAATAGTTTTCAAAAGCTTTTAGCTATTAAGTAATTGAAACTAAAGTCTAGAAATTTATCAAAACCAGTAAATGCTTTATGCCTTTGAAGAGTTCAGGATAAAGCAAACCAAGTACCCATACTATTTAGGTAACTATGATTACAATATATTTGTCAGAATTGTTATAAAAATAGTAATCTACACGATTGAATAATTTAGAAACATAAAATAATTTCACTGTGGATATAACTACAATGAAATTACTTTTTTTTAAAGGAAGAAAAAAAACACTGTTTAAGAGAAGGATTATTTATTTTATCATTATATAATAATCATCATGTAGTAACAATTAGCTCAACACGATTGTCTATTATATTTAATTATGGCTGCTTTTTTTTTTAAATTTGAGACAATTTTTGTGACAACGCAATTAAAAATCACTTACAATTAAAACTATTTACATTCTCAAGAAAAATTTTCAACATCACACCCTCTCTTATAAATTAAGTAAAAAGTTTTCCTTTACCAAAGAAACAGCTTCGTTATGGGTAGTAGGAATTTCTGGTCATTGCACTTTTGCGTTGTGATTGGACAGAGTTGACACAGCATCAGTTAAATTAGCAAACAAATGGCACTCTTATTTAACAGTTAGCCATTACATATTTCACTGTTAATATAAATGCTTTTCCAAAATTGTTGGGAAAAAAAAACAAGTTTATATATATGTCACAAACACGACATATTGGAGAACACAGTTACAGTGCATCTATCTAACCTTTTAAATACAAGAACTTTACCATGTACATCTTTTCACTTAACTCAAGTAAAATTATAAAGCTAATCTTGTACACTATTAATATAAAAAAGAATTTTAAATAATAATTTTGAACTTTACAGTATTTACTAAATTAATGATGACTACAATATGTTTGAAATAATAGTTCCCTTTTTGTAAAAAGAAAAAATATTTAAAAGGGGATTACTTAATTAAATTCATCAAGAGCAATTTTTAATGAAAGGAAATACCTTTTCTGTTATACTAATTTATACAATAGTATGTACACAGTTTTACATGATCCTTTACAACATATAAATATTAGTAAAATCATAATATAATAAGTTTGTACAAAATGTTAATGTACACAATTTACATAATTCCAAGTGCAAATGGAAATTTTCAGAATTTTAAAAATAAAGTCTTTTTCAAATCTATTTTGAAAATAGCTGAAATAAAAATAATAGTTTCTATTTTTCACATACTAAGTTTTTAAAAATTTATGTAAATAAACTGATTTAAAACAGCATTTGGGATCAACTTATTGTAGCCTTAATAGTTAATACTTAAAGAATCCTAGTACTTTGAGTGTAATTTAGAAAGCTATTCCAGGGTGCGTAGCCAAATCTTTAAATCAAAAATAAGCACTTTTTAAAAACTTTTCAAGCACTTTACAAAAATTTTCAAGCACTCAAAAAATTCATATTCAATCAATGATATTATTGAAAAACAAAAACTTTTAATAAACAGTTTTAGCGTTAAAAAAAAACCCAAAAAGAAACGGACGCAAATCGAAACAATCAGTACTTTCCCACATCACCGAGTGAATTCAACTTGACCCTGAACTCAGAACAAAAGTACCCTTACCCCCTACGTCAAAAAAAGTGTTAGAAGTAAAATAAAATACACAAGAACAAAATTAAAATAAATTAAAAAGAAAAACATTTCATAAGGATCTGATATTCCTGGGCTCGAAAAACCGCCCGTCCTCGGCGGTCTAAAATTTCCCGCGGACAACGAATTTCTCGAATCAGACGTCCGCGCGGACGGCCATTTTCCCGTTAATGTTCGTGATACACTTTCAATTTTTGTTATCTTACAAGAGTCTAGCGCCTCACATCTAAAATGACCCTCTAATCTAAAAATCCCGAACAGCAACATACTGCGCGTGGTGGATTGATGTTTTTTCCGTCTGGGAGTACTGCAGCAGTTGAAAAAGACTTTTCATCAATGCACTTACAAAAAAACACATTACATAAGCGTTAAACGCAATTATGAACATCCACCTAAATGGAAAACCCCTTTCAGATTTCTGTGCCGAAACCTCTGTAAATCATAGGCTTGATTGTGGAACTGGCAACGTCATATTTGATTCTTTAAGAACGCAGTACCCTCGGATAAATTGAAATTCCAGATAACTTGACCTTTGTCATTTAAATTATTTCATAAAAGAAATACTATGTTTTACTATAGGTAACCTAGTATTTCTTTTATTACTGTATAATGTAATCCTAGTAGCTACTAATTCATAGTGTAATTTATATAAATGTTTGTAATAAATAAGAAAAAATAATATTTTTATTTATTTAGAAGCGACGGGTTAGTTTCAAAGGAGGACTGGTACATAGTTGGACAAGCCGTCCTCGGGGACGGGTAAAATTTCTGAGTTTTTTCGAGCCCTGNAATTGGAGCACTCGGGTTTCGGTTTCAAGTGTGCGCGCATGCGCAAGTCATAACGTGGGTACGACATGAAGTCCGCGTGAATGATTACGTAGCAAACTCCTCATTTTTCGTGAAATGCATGGGATCCACCAGATATCACTGAAGGGGGAAAAAAATTATTCGGAAAAAAAGCACTTTTTTAAAACGCCAGATGAAAAAAGCACCTTTAAAAGCTTTTAAAAACGAAATCCCCAAAAAAGCACCTTTAAGTACTTTTTACAAACACTACGCACCCTCTATTCTGGGACTTCTTAATGAGATATGCATTTACAATTTTCACAAATATTATACAATCCTAAATAATACTAAACTTTTAAATTAACTTATCGAATCAAAAATATTTACTTACTTATGGGTTACAACCACAGCACAGTAACTTTTATATTTATTCCAAATAACTTTTCTACACAAAATATGCAATTATTTTAGCACATAAAACTTTTTAAATTATGTACTTAGACAAAAACATACCTGCCAACATAGGAGAAATATAATTATGGAGATTTTACTAGCGCCATTTTTTAGACTACGAGTAAAATTTTGATACGTCACACAAAATTATGTGAATCAAAAAGAGAAATTGAAAATAAATTAAAGCACTTACATTTAGCAAAGTAAAACATACGTATATAAATCCTAATCCAAAGAAGATTTTTTAAACCATTATTTATAATCACTTAAACTATTAACACTCAACATACTGCAGTACTGGAAATAGCACCATCTGTTGAGGAATAAGAAGAGTGTTTTTGACATCAGTAGATATTCTATTGGCAAAAATTTTTATTTTATTTTTATTTCTTCAACAAATACAGAGAAGTTAGAGAATATAGGGGTGAACAGGAAATAGTAATAAAATACACGAGTCTTCGTTAAAAAATGGAAGACTTGGCAGGTATGCAAAAAGTATATTGTGTAATATATAATAAAGAGTGCATTTTAAATACTGTTTCAGGTTATTTTACACGAAAAATAACGTTTCATAAATGCAAAGATGTAGATTTTATGTCTCACTGCATGGCTTATAAATTTCAGCAAAAAATTCTCTACTGCAATAGAACTTTTGTCTTCATCTTAGAAACAAATTATGGAGTTTCCCTTTCAGTCTATATAAAATCAATAGAAGAGGATATTAATCAACGGTACTCCAATGCAATTATATTTTATATAAATGTATTATATAGATGGGCATGCATTATATTATACAGCAAGATCAAAAAAATCAACCTAGGTTTAACCCGTTTGAGATGGATTACCAACTGTTAGGTAAGACAATCTGCCTGAATCATGTCTAAGTGGGGGCCCCACCGAGTTTTTTTTTTCATCATTAATTTTTATTTTATTATTGATAAACAAAGTACACATATAAAACATAATAATAATTGTAAAGAAACTTATTTTACAAAAGCTATATTGTTTCAAAAACTATTTCCTTAAATTAACAAAGGTCTCCTATAGACTACCATTCTTCATTTCCCACATTCTCGACACTCAGTCTATCATAATTTTCTCATAATTTTGTCTTAATATTGCCCAAATGTAGTGAACACACTATCAAAGGATCCAAAACTTAAGTGATAACTTAGTAGTTGCTAACTAGAAGAAAAATAAAAACAAAATTCTTTTACAACGGCAGCTCTTCAAATTGCTGTATATCTTTTTGCAAATAAAGCATTTTTGTGTTTTCCCTTAAGGAAACCCATTTTAATTTATTTTTTAAATGTGAGCATTTTTAGGGGTGGTTCATGAAAAAACCTAGACAGGTTATACTTTTTCCAAAAAGAAAAAAAATCTGAGTCTTTGCCAAACCTGCAACTAGCGGAAGATCCTAAATTCCACATTTCGTGATTTTTACTAGCATTAATTAAAATAAAAAGACAACAGATTTAAAGTCTAAATCTTTCTAGTCAACAAATCAATTTATTTAAAATCCACATTTGTATTTGTAGTAAACACACAAAAATTGAATCTGAACGAAAATTTAGGAATAGCAGGACAAAATATTTTTAAACAGATAAACTGCAAATCCTGTGAAGTGCATTTGCTATCATAACATTTATAGTAAAAATTTAGAAGAATATTCTTTTTTTAAATATTACGTTCTCACCTGTTCCATCCCCCAAGTGAGATAATCTTTCTTTGTGGCAGCAACATATTCATTGATGAGCTGCTGAACTGTTTCTCTTGAGTCATCCAACTCATCTAAATTATCCTGAAACATCGCCTCCTTTCTGAATTGGTCGAGGAAAGCCTCCCTTTTTCGCAGTTTGTCATATTGTTTCAGAGTCCTTTCAAATAACTAGAAAAAAATAATAAAACCCAGTTTAAAACACAATCTGCAATACTACACCTAACTCAATAAAAGATTTTGTAAAAACTGAATTCATCAAGAAAAAAAATCACCTTGCTGTGAGACTAGTTTACTTGTATAAACACCTGAGAGGTAAATTTGTTGCAAGATCAGCATATAACTAAAATTACCGTTTAGTAAAAACCTCAGAAATTTCAATAGAGGTGTATTAAGTATTACAGTTGATAGTAACATATTTAGCTAGCATTAAAATAAAGATGTTTTCATTTTCTCTTTCTAGAAGCTTTTGTTTGATACAAATAAAAAAATAAAAGAAAATATTGATATTAGAGAAAATTTAAAGAATTCATTAATCAACTATCAAATCACAATACCTTGAGTTTTCTGTAAGACATTATAATGATACATAAGAGCTGCATATTCATCGCAATATGAAATTAAACATTTAAGTTTATTAAAAGATTTTAATGAGTGAATTTTCTATTAAAATCGTGGTAATTGTTTTTTTTAGAAATTATTTTTTTTATTGATAGCAGGATCAAAAAATACATTTACTGTAGAGTCTTAATTAATCTGAAATTATTTCATTCAAAAATCTCTCTTAAACAGAAGTATATAAATATTTATCCAAACTCAGTTAACTCTTTAAAAATATTCATCTTGTAAACATTTTATAGAAGCCTTAAGAAAAGCATAGACAAGAAACTAATTAAAATATTTGTATTCTTATGAAAAGATAAAATAGCAAAATATTTTAGTTTTAAAATCTATTCATAACTGTTATTCATAACAAAGAGAACTAATAATAAAAATATTTTTTATATAATAACTATACATGTTTTAGAACTATTTTATGTGCATTTAACGCTTTTTTTTCTGCACTAAGAATTTTTTTTAGGTTTGGCTATTTACACACTTATTATAATAAAAGTTAAACAAAAATCTATTACATTTGATTATTAGATGTCCAATACAGATGACTCAGAAAAATTCTACGCAACTAATATTTTTAATTGCACTATTTTAGGCTCATATTATCAAATACTTGTTTTATTGTTGATTTTTAAAATTAATTTAAAACTCGCTTTTAATTTGCATAATGTATGATTTGTGACATTGAAATACAAATTTTTTTATGCAGATCATAAAACGTTGAAAATTCAACTAATATCTGTTGTAACTTACTGATGAAATGCTAGTGTGATTAGCCAACATTAGCCCACTGACGCGATGTGCTGTAGGTATGTAAGGCGATTTGCGTGAAAGAGCTACTTGTATACTAGCAGGACCCCAAGGAATAAACTGTGCAAGTTTCCTTTCTCTAATTCTCATAAGACTTTTGTGAACCTGGAAATAACAACTGATTGTACTTAAAAGTAACTTTTGGAATGAAATATTAATAAGCATAACAATTTATTTTAAAAAAAAAGATGTTACTAGACCTTAAAAACCAATAAAAGTTAACAGAACACAGTGATTTGGATATACTCTGAAAATTATGAGTCATTAGTTTCTGCATCTATTCTATATTTCCGGGTCCCTACTTAAAACATGAATTCTCTCTCTATTTACATTTATAATTATTTTGCCTAAGGGTTGTAATTACGGCTGATCAAACACCTTCAAATAAAAGCATCAGTGTAATTTGATACTTAGAATTATTTTAAAGTTTTCTTTTCTTCATTAATAACAAATTAAAAGAATTTTTTTAGAGCTTATCCCATTAAAAGTTATATCATATTTATCCATACATTCATAAATTATCATATTTAAGATCTGTTATAATTTTGCCGGCATAATTCTGGTAGGCGCTATATTTCTTTTTCCAACGCTGTAGAATTACACATACCAGCAGCCACGTAACTAATTTTTCATGTCTCAACTACGATTTTTTCATATGTTTTTAATATTTTAAGACAGATGTGGAATCACTTAATATACTTAAAAAGCAATGTATTCAAGGCCAAATATTTAAATTAAATTGGTAAGAAGGGATTTATTTTCACAAATAATAATGATAAACAAAATAAAAGAGGAACTTAACAAGTGGACTTTAATCTTACATGAAAGAAATTTTTAACTCTAGTACAGTAGAGAACCAATTATCCGGGATGCTCGGGACCATCGCTATCCCGGATATCTGAATTTCCCGGTTTTCTGGATCGACCAAAAAGTGTCGATAATCGATGTTTTATCGCACCCGAAGTACAAGGAAAAAGTGTAATGCATAAAGTAAGAGAAAAAAGAAAGGTACTCCTAACTTTAAAAAGAAAAATGGTAGAAATATAACATTTAAAAGAATAAAAAAATTTGCAAGTTTAGACAAGAAATAAAGTTTAAAAAATACAAAATTCTCATATTTATTTTTTAAAAATAATTACAATTCCTAAATTAAATAATATAAACAAAACCAATGATTAAATAACGCAATATATTTCATACCTAATTATACGGGGGGAAACGATAAAATAAAAGGAAAACTTATTAATCTAAATAAAAACACTTGAAAATTATCGAACCGAAACGATAGTTAAAAAAAGCACTAGCATAAATATTAAAACCCGGAACAAAGCAAGATCAACGGAATTCAAAAAAAAAAAAAAAAAAAAAAAACCCTAATGGTAAAATTTATGAATAAAAAGAACTAATTTATTGAGTGCGAAATTTATCGCGAAAAGAAAAAAAATCAAACGTAGTGGAATCAGAAAAACAAAACTGCAATCTGCTTCATAAAATAATCCTATGTTTAAATTAATAAACAATTCTCATTTTATTTTATTTTTTTTGTTGATAAAAACAAGATTTTTAATTACAGCAGATGTGATTCCACACCAAGAAAAACTTGCAATTGATACCGCTCTTCCAAAGAATGAGAATTTATTCAAAAGAAAAAGATTTTATTTTTATTAGTCGATGTCAAATAAATATATTTTTCTCTTTTCTTTTTCTGTTCACTGATATGCATGCAATGCATTTTCCCCACCCCCCCTCGTAAATCAAGCAGAAAACGAAATCAGTTTGCCACACCCTTGAGTTTGATTGACGGCCTAAAGGAAAAAATAAAACATTCCTCCCTTCCCTGCCTTCAAGGTCACGGAGGAAATGACGTTTCTCTGGGTAAACGGGGAAATTTTTTTTCCCCTTCCTTACATTTTCCTCTACTTAACTTCAAGGATGAGTTCAAATTGCGCTTTTTTCATTCTAGTTTAAAATGGCGGGAAAATTGAGCAAAATTTTTCCCGGTTTTCTGGTTTCCCGGTTATCTGGATACCGGATAAATGGTTCTCTACTGTACTATAAATAAACTACATTATGTTAACAACAAACCCCTAAAGCACCTTCTCTATCATAAATACCTAAGTGATTCAAAAATTTATTGTCTATAAGTCAATTAAACAAACTTTATTTTAAAAAAAATAAGTAAAGCATTCCCGAAAACAATTAGTTGTCTGCCAAGGAGAATATGGAGGTTAGCTTTCCACAATTTTGAGGCAAAGATCAATGCAATAACCAGAGCCAGCCTTTATCTCCCAGTCAAAATGGTTTTGACACATCTAAAGCTAAATAAATTTCACTTTATGATCACCTAAAATAGAACCTGATCCTACACAATGATAGCTCATTAACTACAGTAATTTCACAGCTCGAAACATATATTGGTAAAAATAATTCTTTTAAAGGAAAATGACAATTAATTATGTTGGCAGCTGCAAAAATAAATGAAACTTTTATTTATAAGTGAAAACAAACAAAACAATTTATATCTTAGTATTGAAAATTTGTAAATAAATTCAGCAACTAATTACATTATTAACAATTAAATAAAAACTGCTAATAAAAGTTGGTATTATTTCAATTATTTTAATGTTCCTATAACGGAAGAATGTTGAAGATATTGACAAAAATATGAGAAACAAACTAAATAAAGCGAATCAGCTACTTTTCAGAAGAAGTAAAAAAATCTGTTTCATGAATGCCAAGAAATACATTAACAATAAAAGGATTAAATGCTCATACATAAATTAACTATTTGAATAGCATTTGAGAAGTAAGATTTATCAGTATCCAAAGATTTTAAGTAAAATTAAATAATCACCTGTGTTGGATCTACTTCCCCTTGAATGATATTCAAAATGCTTATATAACAATGACTAGAGTTTCGATCATAAGCGGTAGAAACCATCATATTTTTCGGCTGCAACAACCGTCGCATCACATCCAAAACTGTGGTTTTTCTCACACTTGCAACCTAAGTTTTAAGTATAAAAATATTATGTACATAAAGGTCATAAAAGGATTGATAAATTATTTGAAATTATATTAACATCAGGAAATGTAATAAGAAATCCATTGCACACACACATGTATATATGGGTCATTCTCACAAAAACAGTCATTTTCATGTCCCCAGTATATTTTATGTTTGTTTTACAACTTACGAAAAAAATTTTTTCATGGAAAGTGTCCTTCAGAATGCAAGCTAACAAAAGAATGAAAATAAAATTATCAATTTTTATTTTTTATTAATTTTAGGTAATAAAAATATACCAATATGTCATTCCCTCACTTGTCCCCACTGCTGATTTAAAAAAAGAAAAAAATTGTTACTGAAATAAAAAAATTTTTTTTACAAATTCATGTCTTTTATTTCAGAATACTAAAATAAAGAATTCAGAAAATCAATTTTAAATTTAATTTCTGATAAAAATATTAACACAGCACTATTTTAAACTTTGTCCCCAGTGTTTCGCGTCATTCCCACACAACAATGTTCTTTCACCTGCAATCTTCTTAGAATAAAAATATTTTAATAAAAACTTCAGAAGTTAACAACTATTTAATAATTGTGAACAAAAAAATTTGTTTCCATCTTCAACTTAAAGAAGCTTTGCTGTGGAATAAATTTGAATGAATCAAACCAGGTAAAATTTTTTACATTTGTCATTCCCTCATGTCATTTTTTAGAGTAAAATAAAATACAACTTCATCGAGAAAGTGGATAATTATATGTTGCTTTCTTGTATGAATATAATTGTATGTGATTGACTTCAGAAATTAATTAGGCCTAACTGTTATTTTTAAATTTTATTGAATTCGTCATTCCCTCACTAGTGTATAAAGTGAGGGAATGACGCTGAAGTGAGGGAATGATTCAAGATGAGTATATTATTAAATTTTTTTTTGTTCAATCGTGCCAGCCAATTTTATTTCCCAAACCTGTAAAAACTATTAAATATATAAGACTAAATTATAATAAATATTAGATATACTTAGTATGTTATCATTTTCAAACTTTAGGTAGATGTAACTTAGATAAAAACATGTATTAAAATAAAATATCATTCCCTCACTATTAGTGTCATTCCCTCACTTTTTAAATAGTGAAAATAATTAATTTACTTATTAATTAATTTGAAAAATAAATTAAAAAATTAATAAATTAATTTATTAAATTAATTAATTTATTTATTAAATTAATTAATTAATTATTAATTATTATAAATTAATTAATTATAAATTAATTATTTAAAAAATTAATTAATTTAAATATTAAGTATAATTTATAGGATATATACTTTCTTTATAATGTCATTACATATTTCTATTAATATAGAAAGTTTCAGAGCATTTTATTCACTTTACTTTTTTGGGATTTTATGAACTGAAAAAAGACAGTTTTCGTGAGAATGACCCATATATATATATACACATAAAAAGTTAAATACCAAGAAAACCTGGAAAAATATATCTATTTTTAAAGAGAAGAAAAATTATTAATAAACTTTTTCTATATTTCTATTACATACTTCATTATAAAAAGTAATTTTTTTCAGGTTTTCTTTGTATCTTTAACTTATTTTCCATCGACAATATGCTTATGCGCAATAAATGAAACTTAACATTATTTTTCTTAACTTTCTCTGTTAATCTCTTTTTTGCTTCTTTTTTTTTTTAGATATATACACTACTCTACAATAATGGAAGAGACACTTTCTGCTTATGACAATTTTTAAAAAATTTTCAATAAATATTTAAAGGATTATTTTGTAACTTTAGAGGTGCTTAGTTCAAGTGATTTTTCATACTTAGCAATAACATTTAAAGCTTTCAGATGTTTGGGAGATTTACAATAAATTATGAAAGAAAACATTAGAAGAAAGAAAACATGGAATTTTTGAACAACCTATGCCTGAAAATCAAGCAGTAAATTTGTAAATTGTATTGATTACTTAGTTGTTATCTGCACAAAGTTTCGTAAACCTAGAGTAAATATTTATGGAGATATGGACATTTTTATAAAAAAAAATTTAAAAAATTTTTTTGCTATGACTTTACAAATATTCAAACCAAATTTTGGGAGCAATTTAAAATAAGTTGCAAAATTGCTGATTTAACATTTAAAAAAATTTCATAAAAAACTGTGCAAAAGATATAAGTATTTGAGGGAGTTATTTTAAACTGCACATGAGCAAAAAAAATTTTAAAAGTTTTTTCAAAACTTTGCAGTGAATTGTACTTGGCAACTAAGGAAGTAAGTGTTTAAGACCGTTATTGAATACAAAATCGAAATAACTAAAGATAAATGGTAAAAGTTAGCGCCTCTTTAGAAATATACTGGAAAATTCTGTCGAGATGGCATAGCATTTATGAGAGAATATTAATTAACTAATTTCAAACAATATTAAGAAAAAAGTTTCAAAAAGATATAAAGAGTCCTAATTACCTCTTGATCTGTAGTGAGAGGAGTATATCCAGTCATCAAGAAATGTAAGCGAGGCATCGGAATTAAAGGAGCGAGTAAGCCTATTAGATCGTTATTCATGTAGCTAGGATAGCGCAAAGTGGCAGTGCTGACTGACATGATTGTAGAAACCTGTTAAAAAAACTTCACAATTGTATCTCTTTAAACAATAATAAGACCTTTTTATCAATTTAATTATCAAAATAAGCACTGAAACAAGACACCAGATCTTATAAAGCATTTTCTGTTGCTATACTCAACTAGCATAGCTATTCAGAAAAGAGACTCTTTGATTTATTACAGCAATTCTATACANAATAATAAGACCTTTTTATCAATTTAATTATCAAAATAAGCACTGAAACAAGACACCAGATCTTATAAAGCATTTTCTGTTGCTATACTCAACTAGCATAGCTATTCAGAAAAGAGACTCGTTGATTACTTACAGCAATTCAATACACTTAAAGAAATTATTTAAATATTAGTTAGTAATGCAACTAAAGAAAAAAAAACAATGTGAATAAGCAAATATGAATGTCTAGTAAAGGAAATCCTATTATTTCGGTTCTATAAACAAGAACCTTCCCCAGTGTCTAAACACCACTTAGTATCTAGACTTTTGGTGTTTAGACACTGAGGAAGGTTCCGGCTTATTGAACTGTAACAATGGTATTTCCATTCTGCACTTTCATTTGCGCTTTATTCAAGTTTTATTGCATTAGTCTACATAGTATAAAGTACTGTTCAGCTTTGAGAAAAAATTCACCAGGCTATAAGTCTAGTGCTGTCTGCTGATATGGTAACAACGAAAGAGCACATTTCTAATAAGGGTGCACAGGAGGAACAGAGCAAAATATAAAAATTAAGGATAAAATTGCTATCAAACTTAAGGACAATTTAAGGATGCTGATTCTCTAATGGGAGCAATTTGCATGATACCAACACAGATTCGGATATATGCAATTGGTAACAGTTATAGTTGTAAATTAAAAAGTTAAAAATTATTTATATATTATTATTATTATAGTTGTAAGTTAAAAATTATTTGGAATTTAGAAGTCCAAAACACAAAAATTAAGGATAAAATTGCATTCTAACGTAAGGACAGTTTTAGGATGCTTATTCTCCAATGGGAGCAATTTGCACGATACCAACACAGATTGGGATACATGCAATTGGTAATAGTTGTTCCTGCACTTTAAAGAAACATTTTTTAAAAAAAAACTCAGATTTCGAAGTTACCCAAAAATTTCTTTTTTGGATTTTTATTTACAAAAAAAAGGATAGAAAATAGTCTAAATATAGAAAATCATTAAGTAGTAGCAAAATACAAGGATTCCTTTGTGAAAAACAATACAGTATGATAGGGGGTGATGGGGGGGAAGTAGAGAGGTAGGAGTTTTTCATATATTTCTCCCACATCAAGTACTTTTTTTATCAGGGTTGGGTTTTTGACGTCAAAAAGTGGTTTTTGACATGACAAGGGTATAATACTGGTTTAAACCGTCAAAAATGTCAAAAACTGAAGTTTGCCAAGAAAATATATAAACTTCAAAACTACCAACAGTTGCCATGCATTATATTGAAATTTAATTATACTATAGGTAATCAGCAGGTTTTAAAATATTTTTTAATTAAAATTAAGGTAAAATAACAGATTTAAAATCTCAGAAATTTATATTCAAATGCATGTG